CTGGTAGCAAGCTGTTCCACTGGTTAATTGTCCTCACTGTTAGGAACTTTCTCCTTAATTCCAGGTTGCTTCTCTCTTTGGTCAGTTTCCGACCATTGATTCTTATCCTGCCTTCTGATGCTCTGGAGAATAGCTTGACCCCCTCTTCTTTGTGGCAGCCCCCCAAATACTGAAACACTGCTATCATGTCACCCCTGTTTCTTCTTTTCTTACTTGGACTAGCCCAGGGCAACCTGGGCTCTTTTATGACTGGTGGACTTCAACTCCCAGAATTCCTGAGCCAGCGTAGCTCTGCTTGGAAACTCTCCCTTTCCCCTCAGCATGGCTGGCTCAGGAATTCTGGGAGTTGAAGTCCATGAGTCATAAAAGGGCCCAGGTTGTTGCCTACCCCGGATTAGGTGTTCTCTCTTCAGGAAATTCCAAGCCCCGCAGCTGTTCTTCATATGTCTTTGTCTTTTCCTTTACTGTGTCACTGTCCCTTGCTTCAGGATATTTGCAGACAAATACATATTAGGACTATGTGAAACACAGATCCAGCCTAGAAGCACGGAAAAAATTCCTGAGGGTGGGAACAATTAATCGGTGGAACAGTTTGATTCCTGGAGTTGTGGGTTGCTCCATTGTTGGAGGTGTTCAAGAAGAGACTGGACAGCTGTCTGACTGGGATGGTATGGAGTCTCCTGCCTTGAGCACAGGGGTTGGACTACAACAGTGGTTCTCAACCTGTGGGTCGGGACCCCATTTGGGGTCGAACGACCATTTCACGGGGGTCGCCAAACAACGCAGTCCGCCATTTTTCCCCCCTTTTCCTTAGCTGTGCTACTCCCGTTTATTCTATTGGCTTTTGAAAGCCAATAGAATAGACTCTCTTGAATAGAGTCTAATTCTATTGGCTTTCAAAGCCAATAGGAATTGTCCAGGCTGTCTCTGCCCTGCTGAGCCCGCCAAAAGTCCCATTCTGCAAACGGTGCTGCACCAGTTGAGTAGTCCTCGACTTACGACCGGTTGAGTAGTCCTCGACTTACGACCGGTTGGGGGTCACGGCATTAAAAAGGTTGAGAACCACTGGACTAGAGATCTCTGATGTCCCTCTCAGCCCTAGGATTCTCGGATGCTGTGTATCACTGATTTCAGAATCATAGATGTACTGCTCGACTTACAACAGTTCATTTAGTGACCGTTTGAAGTTACAACGGCACCCCCAAAAAGTGACTTACGACCGTTTTTCACACTTTGCAACTGTTGCAGCATCTCCGGGGGTCACCGGATCAAAATTCAGGCACTTGGCCACTGACTCATAGTTACAACGGTTGGAGTGTCCCAGGCTCAGGTGATCCTCTTTTGTGACCTTCCGACAAGCAGAGTCGATGGGGAGAAGTCAGATTCATTTAACAACCGTTTTGCTAACTTAACATCTGCAAGCAAGGTTGTCAAACAGGGCAAAATTCATTTTAAAATTGTCGCACTTAGCAACATAAATTCGGGGCTGAATTGTGGCCGTATGTTGAGGACCACCTGTATTTGACACTTAACAAACCAAATGAGTCCAGATGGATTAGAACGGGATCCTCAAGCTTGGCCACTTTAAGACTTGTGGACTTCAACTCCCAGAATTCCTCAGCCAGCAAAGCTGGCTGAAGAATTCTGGGAGTTGACGTCCACAAGTCTTAAAGGGACCAAGGTGGAGGACCCCTGGATTAGAGATCAAATCTTGGACGTGACAATTCTCTGAAAAAACGAAATAAAGCTGCGATCCAGAAACGGCCCAGAGTGACCACGTGCCTTTGCGGAGCTTGTGACCGTTTTTGTCTTAGCTACTTTTCCACACGCAGAATAAATGGGAAGAGAAACCTCGGAGGGGCCTAAGAAAAAAAATCCCAAATGTCTTTTTTTCTGTGCGGTTTCGCAATTCTGAAAATAGCACACTGCACCAGGGTGACCCATGTGCTGATGGGCAGTAATAACCTTGCAGCGTCTTTTTCTCTTTTTAATCAATGAAAAGAGCAGACAAAAAAACCCCAATCTGACACTAATGGGCGCAACCCACCTATTGTATCCTCTGTGTGTGTGTGTGTGTGTGTGTGTGTGTGTGTGTGAGAGAGAGAGAGAGAGAGAGAGAGAGAGAGAGAGAGAGAGAATGAGAGAGAATTAAAAATTGCAACTTGGGCTGCAAAAAGGCTGCTCATCTCGACTGACATATGCCTGCCCTAATTCTGGGAGACACATAAAACAAAAGGCTTCTTGTTTGTCCCCACAAAGAAATGATGGCCTTGCCTCCTTGGGGAAGTCTCTCAAAGATGAATAAACTGTAATTATGTCTCTGCTCCATCCTCCTCTTTCTGCCCGGCTGTGGGCCCTGGTTACAAGGAGCCCCACCGACGACGATGGTCTCCGGGGGAAGAGGAAGACAGGGAGGCAATAGGTCCATGACTGTTTGTTTTATATATATATATATATATATATATATATATATATATATATATATACATACATACATACATACATACACATACACACACACACACACACACACATATACACACATATATAACACACACAAACACACATATATACACACATATATACATATATAGATACACACATACATACATGTACACACATATATACATATATACAAATGCATACACATATATACATATACACACATATATAACACAAACACAGAGACATATATACATACATACACATATATACATACACACATATAACACATATATATATACACATATATATACACACACATATATAGATACATACACATATACATATACACACATATATAACACAAACACACACACAGATATACACACATACATATACATATATATATACATTTACATACACATATACATACATATATACACATATATACATATACATACATGTATAACACACACAAACACACACACACGTATATACACACATACATACACACACACACATATATACACACACACACACACACACATACACACACATATATATATATATATCTACTTGATTTCGTAGATTTGTTTTCGTAGATATATACATATATATCCCCCGCCTATATTGTTGTTGTTGTTGTTAATTGCGAAGTCGTGTCCCACCCATCGCGACCCCATGGACAATGTTCCTCCAGGCCGCCTATATTATTTTTATGAATAACTCAATGTGGCAAACATACGTACCTGCCTCCTCCTAATTTCCCCACAACAACAACCCCGTGAGGTGAATGGGGGGGGGAGAGAGGGAGGGATTTGAACTCAGGGTCTCCTGCTTTCTCCCATGGCGAGAGACCTGTTTGACTGGAGGAGGATGAGCGGCAAGGAAGCTGTCAATCAGCAGCCGCATCTTCTGCTATCCCCGGGGGCCCCACCCCCCTGACAAGCGACGCCTTCTCCCAAAAGAGGTTCCTCTGGGATTCCTCGTTGGGCTCCCTTCAATTCCAAGCTCTGCGCCTTCTGGAATGCCCCCCCCCTCCAACCGGGGGTCAGGGGCGACCCCTTCCCGAAGGGCCGGGCTCCGGTGAGCTGCTCGCTCTCCTTCCCAAGAGAAAGAAGGCCCACCGAGTCAAGGCAGCTGCAGAGGAGAGGAGAGGACGGGGACTCCAGCATCCCCCTCGGCCAAAGGGGAACAGGAAGGCCACTCGGACGGGCCCCGAGGAAGCTGCCACAAAGGCAGGCAGGGAGGTGGGCAGCTGTGGCCACCTGGAGGTTTAGAAAGGCTGGCTGGGGAATTCTGGGAGTTGAAGTCCACAAAGTTGCCAAGCTTGGACTCCCCTGAACTAGGGCAGGAACTGCTTTCTAATTCTAATTCTTTTAAAAGACTGTTTTATTTTTTTTAAAAAAAAAAGATGCGTAACTGGGATGCCAGCTGGCTACAAAGCCAAGCCCCTTCTAACAAAGCCGCTAGCCCTCATGAAGTTACCTAGGAAATTTCTGCAAGAAAACCACCGATTTCCAGGAGCACCAAGGACTCCACAGCCCTCCACTTTGCAAAGCCCACTCCTTTCAAGCACTGATCATGTTCCCTAGTTGGGTCATGAAATGTCTGCAAGGAAACCATCCAGCTCAGAGGGAACCCAGGACCCCTCATTTCAACCCTGAGCTACAAGGACTCTCCTTGGGGCTTGGTATCAAAGCCCCTTCCTCAAGGATCATCCAACATTTCCCAGAACAGCCCTCCTCCCCACCAGGCCCCTTGGGGGGGGGGTTCTGACAAACTGAAAGTGATGGATGGCTCCAGTCCAGGGCCAGACTTGGACCGGTGCTGATGCTCACCTGGCACGGGAGAAGAAGAAAAAACCTACCAGGGACCGTAGGAAGCACCTGGGAAGAATAACGTGGCAATTTTTGGAGAAGGTACACAGAACACACTCAACCTTGCAAATATCAATTAAAAAATCTCCCTTTTTATGACCCATAATCTCTTCTGCGAGTCCCTTGGACTGCAAGGCGTTCAAACCGGTCAGTCCTAGAGGAGATCAACCCCGACTGCTCTTTAGAAGGCCAGATCCTGAAGTTGAAACTCAAATATTTTAGCCACCTAATGAGAAGGAAGGACTCACTGGAGAAGAGCCTAATGCTAGGAAAGATTGAGGGCAAGAGAAGAAGGGGACGACAGAGAAGGAGGTGGCTGGATGGAGTCACCGAAGCAGTAGGTGTGAACTTCAATGGACTCCAGAAGATGGTAGAGGACAGGAAGACCTGGAGGAACATTGTCCATGGGGTCGCGATGGGTCGGACACGACTTCGCAATTAACAACAACAAATTTGTTAATTTGGGGTAGAGTCAGGGCTGGATGGAGCTGAGGGCTGACTGGCAGGATGCAGCAGACATCGATAAAGGAGAATATTCGTTCCTTCCAAATGCGTCCACCGGGCCAAAAGGCGACTTTGTGTGGTGCACAAATGTCGGGATACCCCTGGAACAATCTCGTCTCAACACCCTTGCCAAAAAAAGGCCCGTTTCCCCCCCCCACACACACACACACCTACCTTCCTCCACATCGTTGCGGCCGGCGGCCTCCAGAAGCTGGACGTTTTCAGGGAAGACCACCCTGGTCTCCTTGGCGGCCCTCCGCCTCTTCGTCTCCCCTTTGACCTTCTTGCCCTGCCCGTCCTTCTCAAACTGTGCCCACTTCTTCAGCTGCTGGGCGCGGCGTTTCTGGGCGTGCTTGAGCCGTTCCTGGGTGCCCATCCGGGCAACCGCTGGCATCTCAGCCAGCAGCTCCAGGTGGTCCGCCATGCCTGGCCAACCGCAGAGGCTCACCTGCGACGTGCCGTTCAAAGCATTGGGAAACTATGGGCTGGGGCAGGCCGGGGAAGGGGCGGGAGGGGGGTGGAAAGCTCTCCCTCGGACACCAGCGGCAAGTCTTCAGAGGCGCTCGGCAAGAAGACGGCGACAGCCGGGCTGCTGACTGTGCATCTTCACAAATGTGGAAGAAATCTGGTTTTGAAATCAGTCAGGTGAGCCTCTCTCGACAGGTGGTGCCAACCTTAACAACGGAAACGGCACTTGCCTTGCCTTCCTCGTCCAGGCAGAGCCGGTGAAAACGGGCACCCCCAAAAAGAAGGATTCGTGAAGCGGCCCTGAAGGGTCCCTGGGAGGCTGGGGAGATACTTTGGCCGCTGCCCACCACTCAGGCAAGGCGAGGGGCTCCAGTTGAAGTACAGAGGGCTGCTGCTAGCCCTTGTCCTCCATGTTCAAAAGACCCCCAAACGCAGCAGCAACTTCCGACTGAGGAAAACGGCGAAGCATAAATCCTTCATTCTTTGGTGGCGAGTTTTTAATCCGCAGCCCGGCCTCGGCAAGCAGCAAACTCAGGCTTGTGTCTCGGCCCCTTTTGATCAGCCTCCCAATCGAGGCGGGAACAGGAGCTGAGCTGACTTATGGAGAGAGGTGACTTGATGATTCTGACTGCAATCTCAATCCCGGAGGAGTTTTCTCTGCTCCCTAAAATAGGACTTCAGCGCCTGGAGGCAGATCCCTCTGAATGGCTGGCACCCTCCTAGCAGTGGTCCACGGCCCCGCTGCCAGACAAGGAGCCCACGGCAGGGCCTGGGCGATCGGCCCACGGCTGCATCGTCTTCCCAGCAGAGTCCACACTGGCCGTACGTTCAAAGTCTTCCTTCGTGTCAGACTGTCCTGACCTGGCTGCTTCAGAACAAAGTCCTTGACGGAGGGCTGTCCTTCTTCCCACCGTGCACGGGCTCTCCTCGCCTCTAGCCACTTAATAAATGGATTTGTAAATAAATCAGAACTGCCAGCCACCTTCCTTGGAGCCGTTGATGGCTTTCAACTGTTTTGCTCCAACTGCTCAGGAGCACCGCAGGACAAACCGGTCGACGGCTGGCTGGAGACTCCTCCCTTCGCGTGGTGCTACTTGGGTGCTGGGCCGAGCTTTGCGCGGCCGTCTCCAGCCAGGCGCTCTCTGGAAAGTCCTGCAGCAGAAGAGGAAGAAGGAAGCCGGTCAGGCAGGGCTTAGAGGCTGCCACCCGCACCCAGAACACCTAAGCCCCCTCTTTGCCAGACAAACCGCTGGCTGCTCTCTCGCCCTGCCTTCCTCCAAGATTAGTCGACAGCCAAAGTTGAAGCAAATGACTTGAGAGGAGATCAGATTACGAAAAGGTGGAGGAGGGGAGGGGGCTGTTTTCAGCCCTGTGTCACCTCCTGTTCAAGACAGGGACCCCTTCCCTTTAAAGCAGCCGCCAGCATTTAGATTAGTGTTTCTCAACCTTGACAATTTTAAGGCATGTGGACTTCAGCTCCCAGAATTCCACAGCCAGCATTGCTGGCTGTGGAATTCTGGGAGCTGAAGTCCACATGCCTTAAAATTGTCAAGGTTGAGAAACACTGATTTAGATGTCCTTCACATTTCCCAGCACCTGCATACTTCCTAACTAATCCCCCTGGGAGGGACTGGCTGGGGGGGGGGGGTCACTCCCTTGGGACAAATAGCAGGGGGAGTTGAGCAAGAGACAATTTAAGGGCTTAGGTGGGAAATTGTAAACGATTTAAGTGCCTGAGGGCCCCAAGGACAGACAGCAGAATGGCCCAGCGAGAACAACAGGATAACAAAACTGGAAAGTTCCTTGGAGGTCATCTAGTCCAACCCCCTGCTCAAGCAGGAGACCCTTGCAGAAGAACAGAGCTGGAAGGGACCTTGGAGGTCTTCTAGTCCACCCCCTGCTCAAGCAGGAGAGCCTATAGCAGTGGTTCTCCACCTGTGGGCCGGGACCCCATTTGGGGTCGAACGACCATTTCACAGGGGTCGCCAAACAACGCAGTCCGCCATTTTTTTCCCCCTTTTCCTTAGCTGTGCTACTCCCTTTTATTCTATTGGCTTTTGAAAGCCAATAGAAGAGACTCTCTTGAATAGAGTCTAATTCTATTGGCTTTCCAAAGCCAATAGGAATTGTCCAGGCTGTCTCTGCCCTGCTGAGCCCGCCAAAAGTCTCACTCTGCAAACGGTGCTGCACCAGTTGAGTAGTCCTCGACTTACGACCGGTTGAGTAGTCCTCGACTTACGACTGGTTGGGGGTCGCGGCATTAAAAAGGTTGAGAACTACTGTCCTATAGCATTCTGCACCAATGGTTGTCCAGTCTCTTCTTAAAAACTTCCAGTGATGGAGTACCCACCACTTCTGGAAGGAAGCCATTCCACTGATTAATTGTTCTCGCTTCATTCTTCTCTCCTTAATCAGCTTCCACCCCGTTGCTTCTTGTCCTGCCCTCTGGTGCTTTGGAGAATAGCTTGAGCCTTTCTTCTTCGGGGCAGCCCCTCAAATATTGGAAGACTGCTCTCGTGTCACCCCTGGGCCTTCTTTTCACTAAACGAGACATTTTGTGGAGAACAAATTGTGTAGAACGAAAAAGAAAAGAAATAGACGTTCTGTCCGGCATTTTGCAAATTGGCCACCCACCCAGGGCTCAAGGACGAATACTTCCCAAGTTGTCCATTTCTTGCAGTGTTTCTCAACCTTGACAATTTTAAGGCATGTGGACTTCAACTCCCAGAATTCCACAGCCAGCATTGCTGGCTGTGGAATTCTGGGAGTTGAAGTCCACATGCCTTAAAATTGTCAAGGTTGAGAAACACTGCAGGTAATAACCCCGTCTCTGGAATGCTAGCTCTCTTAGGGAACTGGGTGAGCAGAAGAAATGAAGACACGGTCTGCAGCAGTAGCAACCAGCGGCTTTAGCAAAGCTGTCCCTCTAGAACAGGAATTATTCACACTCAACAACCATTCTTCCAGCAGTTCCAAAGGGCAAGGATCCTTAGGAAGAAGAAGTGTCTACACAGCTCTTGCGTGGCAAGCACAAAGCTAAGGCGCAAGTGAACGATGGCAAGGCTGGCCACCCAGTTTCCAACAGAGAACAACCAAAGGCACTTTTTAGCCACCTCTACGAAAGAGCAGAGGGCAAAAGTTGGCTTGAAACTCAACAGTTAAAAAAAGTAAGGTCATCCCTTCCTGGCAAATAGAAGGGGAAGACTCTAGAACGAGTACAGAGAAGAGCAACGAAGATGATTAGAGGTCTGGAGGCTAAAATATACAAAGAACGGTTGCTAAAGTTGGGTAGGTCTAGTCTAATGAAGAGAGGGACCAGGGGGGACAGGATAGCAGCCTTCCAGTATCTCAGGGGCTGCCCCAAAGAAGAGGGAGTCAAGCTATTCTCCAAAGCGCCTGAAGGCAAGACAAGAAGCAACGGAAACTGATCAAGGAGAGAAGCAACCTGGAACTAAGGAGAAACTTCCTGACAGTGAGGAGAATTAACCAGTGGAACAACCTGCCTCCAGAAGTGGTGAATGCTCCAATACTGGATTTTTTTAGAAGAGACTGGACAGCCATTTGTCCGAAATGGTCTAGGGCAGGGGTAGGCAACCTTGGCTCTTTTATGACTCGTGGACTTCAACTCCCAGAATTCCTGAACCAGCCACGCTGAGGGGAAAGGGAGAAGTTTCCAAAGTGAGCCATGCTGGTTCAGGAATTTTGGGAGTTGAAGTCCACGGGTCATGAGGGGGGGGCATAGTTCCCCCTTGCTGGCTGAGGAATTCTGGGAGTTGAAGTCCATGAGTCATAAAAGAGCCAAGGTTGCCTACCCCTGGTGTAGGGTTTCCTGCCTGAGCAGGGGGTTGGACTAGATGACCTCCAAGATCCCTTCCAACTTTATTACTATTATTATTATGGATCATGGCACAGTCAGCCAGATGTTCAGACTGGATTTGGCATTTTGTCTACCTATCGAGTCCTTACCAGGACCTGGGATAGGCAGATGTGGATGTTTGATGGTATTACAGATATCGTCGCAGGATGGAAGCAGTTCCTAGTAAGGCCGCCTTTTGCAATTGACTAATGGCGAATTTGTCAATGGTGTTCAAGTGGTGCTCCAGTTGTTTTGGGATTGCTCCCAAGGCACCTATCACTACTACTACTACTACTACTACTACTACTACTACTACTACTACTACTACTACTATTAAATGGAAGCAGTGACAGATCTTATTTTCTCGGGCTCTTGGGCCCACTGCAGGTGGTGATGTAGCCATGAAATTAAAAGACAATTGCTCCTTGGGAGGAAAGCTATGGAAAACCTAGACAGAGTATTAAAAGGCAGAGACATTGTCTTGCCCACAAAGATCCGTATAGTTAACGTTATGCTTTTCCAACTAAGAATGTACAGCTGTGAGAAGCAGACCATAGGGAGGGCTGAGTGCTGAAAAATGGATGCTTTCAAATGGTGGTGCTGAAGAAAGACTCCTGCAAGGAGACCCGGTGGGCTGTGCGGGCTACAGAGGGCCAGATGCAACTTAGCAACAACAAGACTGCTAATAAAATAAATAAATCTGTAGTTAAGGATGAGCAGTGAGATGACCAAGATGGCAGCAAGTAAAGAGAGCTTTAAACAGAATTAAACAATTCAGTGAAGGGCTGGCTCAGGAATTCTGGGAGTTGAAGTCCACGGGCTGTAAAGTTGCCGTAATTGCCCACCCCTGATCTAAACCAAAACCTTTCAGGATCAAGTCGGAAGAACCCCAGAATTCCCAAACATTCATGCGGGTGAAACCCGATCCAAATTTGGGTTCCTTCAGCACATTTTCCTCCACGACCGAAGGGGCTCCCCCAGAAAGGATGCTTTTAACCCAAACCACCTTTTCGGTCCCAAACTGCTCTATATCCACACACACCCATTTCCTGCCAGCAGCGTGAATCTGGTAGAAAGGCATACAGCCAGCAAGACTCTTAGAAAAGATGCAAGGCCATCTTTGTGGGAGATACAGCTCCCAGAAAAGTTGCTTTAAAAAAACTGGACAAAATGCATAAAAGCAGTGTTTCTCAACCTTGACAATTTTAAGGCATGTGGACTTCAATTCCCAGAATTCCACAGCCAGCAAAGCTGGCTGTGGAATTCTGGGAGTTGAAGTCCACATGCCTTAAAATTGTCAAGGTTGAGAAACACTGGCCATAAAGCAATTTCAGCCCCGCTAACGAGGTTCGGAAAGGACACGGTTTGCCTCTGTACCGCGTGTTCTAAAAAGGCAACTTTGCAACCATCACAAATTCTGCTAAAGCACTTTCAAGTGGAACGTTGAGCTCAATTACAGAGCACTGGTTTAATGGGGGGGGGGCAGAAATGCAGACCTGCTGGGCTAAAAGCACTGGACATTACTGGGGGAAAAAAATACAGGTAGCCCTTGACGTACGAACCACAACTGAGCCCAAATTTATGTCGCTAAGCGGAACATTTGTTAAGGGAGTCTTCCTCCATTTTCCTGCCACAGTTGTTAAGTGAACCACGGCAGTTATTGTTAAATGAATGCGGCTTCCCCACGGATTTTGCTCGTCAGAAAGTCGCAAATGGGATCACGTGACCCCGGGGCACACTGCGACCGTCATAAATACGAGTCAGTTGACAAGCATCCGAATTTTGATCACGTGACCCTGGGGAATGCTGCAATGGTTGTAGGTGTGAAAAACGTTCATTTTTTCAGTGCCCTGGTAACTTTGAACGGTCCCTAAACGAATGGTTATAAATCAAGCACTACCTGTAACTTAGCTGGGCTGCTTCTGTTAAAGTTGGCCTAGATACATTTTAAATAAGCATAAATAAATATTGCTTCAGGTTCCAGAAACTAGAGACAGTCCCTGCTTCCTTGCCCCACCCTGGATCTCTGAAGAGTGAGGAAGGCAGCGCACCCATCCTAGCCAGCATAATCTACATATCTACCATCACGCCAAACGGCCACTTAAATCTGGTCAGGCTCACTGGGGCAAAATGGCTCAGGAGCCTCTAAAGCAGTGGTTCTCAACCTGTGGGTCGGGACCCCATTTGGGGTCGAACGACCATTTCACGGGGGTCGCCAAACAACACAGTCTGCCATTTTTTCCCCCTTTTCCTTAGCTGTGCTACTCCCTTTTATTCTATTGGCTTTTGAAAGCCAATAGAATAGACTCTCTGAATAGAGTCTAATTCTATGGGCTTTCCAAAGCCAATAGGAATTGTCCAGGCTGTCTCTGCCCTGCTGAGCCTGCCAAAAGTCCCATTCTGCAAACGGTGCTGCACCATTTGAGTAGTCCTCGACTTAACGACCGGTTGAGTAGTCCTCAACTTACCACCAGTTGGGGGTCGTGGCATTAAAAAGGTTGAGAACCACTGCTCTAAAACTTCCCATTTCTTTCTACAACAATCACCCTCTGGCTGGGGATTACCAGATCACACCCCAAACAGCTCTTGCAGTGGAGGTGATTTTAATCCAACTGTGATGAAACTAAGATTAAAACAAGCTATAACCATTCAACCTGACCAAGCTATATACCACAGAGCTAGCACATAATTCGACACCCAGCAAGCCTGGAATTCCAATTTTAAAAAACTGTTATCGTACTGGGTTGCAGCATAATCCTCTCACTCAAAAACATTTTGGGAAAGCTCTCGATAAAATCTTCCCACGTGAGCAAAGAGGGAAAAAGCAATTAGAAATTTCTAGCCACAAAAGGAAGAAGAGAGGGGTAGGGTTAGCACTCTGCATAGCCCCTGGAGCTTTTCAAGATAAATAAAAGCAGATAAATAAGTTTGGCATGCAAATAAAATTTGCACAATCTGTGCAAGTTACAACACTTGAGTTTTGCTGCCAAAAAAAGAAAAGAAAAAAAGATGAAAGCTGATACTGGGTGCATGATTTCCTAAAACACAACCTGCATAACAATGAGTGTATGCAATACCAATTACTTAAATTCTAGTAAAACAATGGGGCATGTTTCTGACACTATTTCCCCAATATTGAGAGCTTCCAGAAAGAGTGAGGCAGATATGGTTAAATTAAACCGAGACCTAATTTCTATATTCTTCTCCAGGTTCACATATCAGTGAGTTACAAGCAAAGTTGCGTTTAAGGGGTTCTTCGTCCTCTCTGCGCTGGTTTTCTTGCAGACGTTTCATTACCCAACTAGGTGATGACATCAGTGCTCGAAGGGAACAAAGTATGAGGAGTGGAGGAGGAGAAGGAGGGAGGAGCAGAAAGAAGAGGAATGTGGGGTCCTTATCCTTATGTTTCATTACCCGAGCTAGCACTGATGATGTGACCTAGACGGGTAATGAAACGTCTGCAAGAAAACCGCCAAGCTCAGAGAGCACCAACAACCCCACAGTCCTCCTCTTCCTCCTCTTCCTCCTCCCCCCTCTCCATGAACCACACTCCCTTCTAGCACTGATGATGTTCCCTAGTTGGGTAATGAAACGTCTGCAAGAAAACTACCATGTTCAGAGAGCACCCAGGACCCCACAGTCGTCGTCCTCCTCCTCCTCCTCCTCCTCATCTCCATGAACTCTATTCCCTTCTAGCATTGATGGTGATCCCTAGCTGGGTAATGAAACTACAAGTCTTCTCCTTTAAAGTAGTGTTCATTATATTCATGAAGCCACTGCAAATATGAGCGCCTTGCTGCAGGTGACCAGCAGGATCGCTGGTGCTGCAGTCAGGTCTCCCCTGCCACAAGATGAAGCAGCCTGCAAAGACGCTGTCAACCAGACTGACAGTTTCGAAAACTAGCCCAACCCTGAGCCAGACTCACGGGATTTGACCTGCCACAGGAGTTCCAGGGGCCAGAGATCATTCCTCAAAGGAGACTTCGGAATGCAGCACCCCTGAACGGGTCATACCTCTGTGCTCTTCCCCTGGGCCTCTCAGGGCCCCGCTCTGCTTTGGAAGCCAGCTGATCAGGGCACAGGAGCCCTTCGGATTAACACACCTGGATCAGTAACAATGGGAAAAGCAGCACTGCCCTCCTCTCCCACCAAACCAGTCAGGCAGCGGCTGCCGCATTCCTGCTGCCCCAAGCCACGCCACCGGGGCACCCACGCAACCTGCCGGAGGTGAAATATTGCATGCAGGAACTCCCTGACTCTTCCTGGAATCAGGAATGTGAAGAATTGGGCAAGGGCTGGAGCGAGCCAGCAAGCGCTCTCCAGTCGGCAAACAGAAACCCGTGTTTATTGTGCTCGCTGGCCTTCGGGTCTTCTTCTAGCTTTGGAGTCAAGCTGTTCTCCAAAACACCTGAAGGCAGGACAAGAAGCAACGGATGGAAACTCATCAAGGAGAGAAGCAACCTGGAACTAAGGAGAAACTTCCTGAAAGTGAGAACAATTAACCAGTGGAACAACCTGCCTCCAGAAGCGGTGAATGTTCCAACACTGGAAGTCTTTAAGAAGAGACCGGACAGCCATTTGTCTGGAATGGTATAGGATTTCCTGCCTGAGCAGGGGGTTGGACCAGATGACCTCCAAGGTCCCTTCCGATTCTGCTATTCTGTTACTACTGTTCTTCCTCTGCCCGTTATGCAGCTGCCAGCTAGGCCTTCTCTTCTCGGACCATTTCCTGGGCAGCTGTTTTCCGAGATCATCCCCACAGACCAGTCCAGCAGGGCTTTCCAAACCTGGCCACTTTAAGACTGGTGGACCTCAACTCCCAGAATTCCCCAGCCAGCATGCGCTGGCTGGGGAATTCTGGGAGTTGAGGTCCACCAGTTTTAAAGTGACCAAGCTTGGAGACGCCCGCATGACAATTTCACAAGGCCTCATAAACCTAGCCTGTCTATCAAAGCTCAATTGATCAAGTAATAAATATCGGTCCGTTCAGAGCCAGCAGCCTCATATACGGAGCTCATATTTGCCTGCGGCAAAATCTAGGCACAGTCAGGCCATCTCCCCACCCCCCCCTCAAAAAGGCACTTTCTTTGCTTGCTTTTCTTCAGTTACCTGGTCAAAGCCCCTCCCATCCATGTGGCAGAGTTAGAATCAGGACATTTGCACGGAAAAACACAGCTTCCGGGAGTCAAGAACACTTTTTAAGGCAGGAAGTTTGCCCAGCGGCCCAGATCTGGAGTGCTCCTTGCTAAATTTAGTAGTAACTGTGAGAGGGACCTCGGAGTCCTAGTAGACAATCACCTAAATAGGAGCCAGCCGTGTGCTGCAGCTGCCAAAAAGGCCAACACAGTGCTAGGCTGCATTAACAGAGGGAGAGAATCAAGATCATGTGAAGTATTAATACCACTCTACAATGCCTTGGTAAGGCCACACTTGGAATTCTGCATCCAGTTTTGGTCACCACGATGTAAAAAAGATGTTGAGACTCTAGAAAGAGTGCAGAGAAGAGCAACAAAGATGATTAGGGGACTGGAGGCTAAAGCATACAAGGAACGGTTGCTAGAATTGGGTATGCCTAGTTTAACGAAGAGAAGGACGAGGGGGGACAGGATAGCAGTCTTCCAGTATCTCAGGGGCTGCCACAAAGAAGAGGGAATTAAGCTATTTTCCAAAGCATCTGAAGGCAGGACAAGAAGCAACGGGTGGAAACTAACCAAGGAGAGAAGCAACCTAGAACTAAGGAGAAACTTCCTGACAGTGAGAACAATTAATCAGTGGAACAGCTTGCCACCAGAAGCAGTAAATGCTCCAACACTGGAAGTTTTTAAGAAGAGACTGGACAGCCATTTGTCCAAAATGGTGTAGGGTTTCCTGCCCGAGCAGGGGGTTGGACTAGATGACCTCCAAGGTCCTTTCCAACTTTTCTATTATTATGATTATTAAATTTACCCAGCGGAAAGAACCAGGGGCGAAGGGAAAATCTAGGTTTCCCCTTCAGCTGTAAATCTGGAATTCTGGAAATCTCTTGCCAGGAAGAGCTGAAATGAGTGGAGGGGCGAACTCAGAGAAAAGCTACTTTCTAAAAATGTCATAAAGTGGTACACTAAAGCAATGCATGTATTTTTAAACCCGGTCTCAGCCACCCTGTGTGTGTGTGTGTGTGTGTGTGTGTGTGTGTGTGTGTGTGTGTGTGAACCATACCCTGCCCAACCTGCAGAGTCAGCAAATAAAATTTAAGGAAGAAACACGGGTAGTCCTCAGCTTGCAAACGCAACTCAGCCCAAACTTTCCACTACTAAGCACGACGGATGTTAGGTTGAGTTTTGCACCCTTTTTTACGACTTTTCTTGCCCCCCGATGTTAAGTGAGTCCCTAGCAGTTGTTAAGTGAGCAACGTGGTCCTTAAGTGGAATCTGGCTTCCCCTATGGGCTTCGCTTGTCACAAGGTCCCGGAAGGTCACAAAGTCACGTGACCCTGGGACACTGCGACTGTCATAAATACGAACCGGTTGCCAATTCCGATCCCGTAACCGTGAGGATGTGGCAATGGTTGTAAGTGTGAGAAACGGTCATCAGTCACTGTTTTCAGCGCCAGTCACTAAACGAATAGTTGTTAAGTCAAGGACTTCCGGTAAACGCAGTGTTTCTCAACCTTGACAATTTTAAGGCATGTGGACTTCAACTCCCAGAATTCCTCAAAGCTGGCTGTGGAATTCTGGGAGTTGAAGTCCACATGCCTTAAAATTGTCAAGGTTGAGAAACACTGCCCGAGTAAAGAGAAATAATATTGTTCAAAATCTCAGGGACGCAGCCAAGTCCCAGCCTGAGGGAAATATTTGGTTCCAGGCTGGGGAGCCTCCGAGTCCCATCCCAGCAGACGAGAGCCAGGCAGCCCACATGATCCCAGGACACGGCATCCGTCATAGGTTTGAGCCAGTTACCAAGCGTCTGAATATTGATCACATGACCAAAGAGATGCTGTAGCCATTGCTAAGTATGAAAAAGGGTCATAAGTCATTTTTTAAGTGCCATTGTAACGTCAAACAGTCACTAAAAGGATGGTTGTAAGTCAGGGGCTTACTGTGTTTAATGGGCCAAGAAAGCACATGTGCACCGGACACCAAAACGGGGCTCCTACACCCCAAACAGCAAATGCACCAAAGCTATTGCGTCTTCCGTCTCATTCAGAGATAAAGCGCCATGATGGCGCAGTGGTCAGAATGCAGCATTGCAGGCTAACTCTGCCCACCGCCAGTAGTTCGTTCCTGACTGGCTCAAGGTTGACTCAGCCTTCTGTCCTTCCGAGGTCGGTTAAAATGAAGACCCAATATGCCAGTGATGGCGAACCTTTTAGAGACCGAGTGCCCAAACTGCAACCCAAAACCCACTTATGCATTGTCGGGTGCTGGGTGGGTGTGGCCCATGGGGTGGGTGTGGCTGCGGTGATAACAGTAGATTGGGTGGGCCTAAAAAGTTCAATCAATCAATTCCAACTTTGCAAGATCATTTTTCCCCCGAGAGAAGTGGAAATTGATTGGTTAATTGAACTTTTTTTTTTTTTTTAAACACGGCGGCGGAGGCCTAAAGCAAAAAGGTTTTATAAAACCCAGCTGAAGGCCTAGGATTGGGGCGACAGCGCACGTGCCCACAGAGAGGGCTCTGAGTGCCGCCTCTGGCACCTGTGCCATAGGTTCGCCACCACTGCAATATGCCGACTCTATAAATTGCTTAGAGAGGGCTGTGAAGCACTGTGAAGCCATATCTAAGTCAATGTGCTATTGCTACTCTCCAGGCCTAATACACAACACACTGCCTTGGGTCACAACCCGTCGGCATTTTAGCTCCCCACCAAATCAACTTTCTATCCCACCTTTTCCCCAGGTGCCACTCTGCTGCCTTTTGGTTTTGACATTTTTTTTATTAGTTTAAATTTTGTATTAGTTTATCAAAATATAAAATACAGAAAGACAAAGAAAAATGAGAATAACGGCGAGGAGGAAAAGAGGGAAAAGTGTAGGGTAAAACGGAAAGAAAAGAAAAAGCATGGACTTTTGACTCTTTTTCGTGTAGTAGAATAGGGCAATAGTATATAACCTCAACTTCTTACTTTTACATAATAATGTTGTTGTTAATTGCGAAGTCGTGTCCGACACATCGCGACCCCATGGACAATGTTCCTCCAGGTCTTCCTGTCCTCTACCATCTTCTGGAGTCCATTTAAATTCATGCCTACTGCTTCAGTGACTCCATCCAGCCATCTCATTCTCTGTCGTCCCCTTCTTCTATTGCCCTCAATCTTTCCCAGCATTAGGCTCTTCTCCAGTGAATCCTTCCTTCTCATTATGTGGCCAAAGTACTTGAGTTTCAACTTCAGGATCTGGCCTTCTAAAGAGCAGTCGGGGTTGATCTCTTCTAGGACTGACCGGTTTGAACGCCTTGCAGTCCAAGGGACTCGCAGGAGTCTTCTCCAGCACCATAGTTCAAAGGCCTCAATTCTTTTGCGCTCAGCCTTTCTTATGGTCCAACTTTCACAGCCATACATTGCAACTGGGAAAACCATGGCCTGGACTATACGCACTTTTGTTGGCAGGGTGATGTCTCTGCTTTTTAGAATGCTGTTTAGATTTGCCATAGCTTTCCTCCCCAGGAGCAAGCGTCTTTTAATTTCTTGGCTGCAGAAATAATGTAGGCTAGCCATTTACCTAATCAGCAAAACCAAAATTTCATTTTTTTCCCCACCTCAAGCATGAAGTCCAGAAGCGGTTTCCAAATAAAAAAAAAATGTGTTCTTTTCTTTAATCAAAGCAGTCAATTTAGCTCTCTCCGCTAACTCCGTCAACTTTTGCGGCTATTCGTCCATGGTGGGAATCAAAGTATCCTTCCATTTTTGTGCATAAGGTATTCTTGCTTCGGTCAGCATATATATAACATCCGCCACGGCTCTATTGGAACCTCTTCAAGCTGCTCAACCCCAAAATCTGAACTGGTTCTCCAAAGGACCACAGAGTGAAGGGGGAAGGATCTCTTAAGAACTGATCCAAACCCAGGAATTTCAAATTGGCCTGAAGACAGGAAGCAGAGAATCAAACGCAGGCCGGAGCAGAGGAGCGCCTGACCAAGGAAATAATAGAAGAGAGAGAAAGAAGAGAGAGGAGAGGAGAGAGAGAGAAAAAGAGAGAGAGGGAGGGAAGGAGAGGGGGAGAGAGAGAGAGAAAGAGAGAGGGAAAGAGAGAAAGAGAAAGAGAGAGGGGGGAGAGAGAGAGAGAGAGGGAGAGAGAGAGAGAGAGAGAGAGAGGGAGGGAGGGAGAGAGAGAGAGAGAAGCAAACCATGTGAGCTGCCAACATTACACCCCACAATGGCTGATATGTTTACAAAAGGCCGCTTGCTGCACGGACAAGGCTGGAAAAACAGAC